CGATATGTCTCTTGTTTTCGGAAAGTAACGTGTCTTGAATAGCATGGGGAACTGTTAGTCACAGCTGCTTCTAGACGACGTTACCACTTTTTCGCAATAATTGACAGTCATGATGCACGAATATAAAAATGTATTGTGCGTGATCGAAGTTTTAAATTAATGCTAGTGGAAAAAATGTGAGAGCTGTTTCATGTGTATCTAACACTGGTTATTCTTCTTGTTTTGGTTTTTGAATACAAATATTTAAACTTTCAACATAAAATATATATACAAATATTGAGTATATACATACATTCCATGTTAAGAGTTTAAATAATTCATATTTAATATTAAATTTCATATTAAATCAGAACGATAAGAATATCCACGATTAGGCACGTGACTGGGAACTGGTACTTTTACCTTGATTGACGCAATTAACGTGTCGCAGCTCGACGGAGTCGTAACGCCGACGGCTTCCTCGAAGTCGCCGGTGTCATGTATGCATAACGGGGGACGCACACGGGCTGTGCAACATCTTATAACTGCCGCGCCATTAACGGCACCGCGCGATCATTGTAATATACGTTTAGTTTAGTTTAGCGGCACGAGGGGCTGCGAGAGCGAGCCACCGTGCGACCCCTCGCGTGCCAGCCGAGAGAGGGTGCATAATTTATCGCCGCGTCCCGACCACCGTAATGCAATACGTTACACGCTCGGCATGCATGTGGATTCCGCGTAGGTTATCGATGCTCCCTCAATGTCCGAGGGGTACGGTGGCATAACTAACTACCTATAAATAGCACGATCATGTATCGGCATTCATTGGCCGATATCTCCCCATTTGAGCAACGGCACTTTATATTCCGTAACATAATGACACGAAAAACGATGCGCCAACACGTATGATGCGAATCGTCCTCCACATTGAGAGAAAAGATATCCGAAGAAGCGCAGATTACTCGGTGAGCACACGGAGAGAATTTTACGACAAAGATTACTACAGAATTTCGTAATCGAGCACACTGAGAGAAAATTATAGTTGCTTTCGGCGTTAACTATATTTTTTTCGTGATTTAAACCATAAAAATAATTAAAAGAACTGTCCTTTTAATAACATTTTCTAAATGGTTCTTCTAATTATTTTTGTAGTTGAAATCATAAAAAAGTATAGTTGACGCTAAAAGCAAGTATAATTTTCTCTCAGTGCAACAGATCGACATTCTGCGGTAATAAACTGTTTTTTCACACACATATTTTAAATGTTATTTATATTTTCTATATTATAATATATATTATATCTTAGGAAAATATATAATATTATATTATATTTTAGAAAAACTGTGAGATGTGCTACTAAAAAACCTACCATGTTTTTAGTGAAATTTACACTGCGTTCCTTAGCAAAGTAAACCTTACTGACAGTCCATTCCTGCACATAATAAAATTGAAAAAAACTTATATGAAGAAAAAAAACTATAATACTCACACACTTTGTGTACTAATATATAACATATTTATTTAAATCTAAATTCTTTTATTCTATATATAGAATAAACAATTACTTTCATGAAGAGCTAAGGTTTTAAAAAAATATACATCTTATTTGAAAAATGGTTTATATAGGTGTAAATAAATGTGTTAGTAGCCATTGAATAAGTATTTCTTATATTTTGGATATCTTTTCTCTTGGTGCACGTAGAAATGTTGTTGGCGTCGGGGCAATTTTTAATTCGAACTTTCGTCCGGCTCGTTCTCCTAAAATCGCTAAAACTGTTCGGCGAGCGACACTTTTTTTCCTTCTCTCCCTCCTCCCTCCTTCTCCTCTCCGTCCGGACCTTCCGTACAGACTGCGAGAGAGAGAGACGAAAGTTTTAATCTTTCCGATCGCGCGCGGCGAACTCGAAAGTCGCGTGGGCAGGGGTTGCATTTCCGAGGCGTTGAATTTAGAATAGAATTGGTTTTTATTGTGACTAGATTACAAACGGGGCCTTTACGGCGCTCAATATCGCCCAGTAGGAACGTTTACACGTAGTGAGTGAGGTGACAAACGGGAATGAAAACATTCTGTGACGTTACGGATCACTCACCGCAGGGACCGGGATATGTGATTACGACGAAACATTTGTACGACATTGGGATTCATACAAAATAGCGGTCGTTTCTTATGCCTACCTTACGTGACTATGTCTCGATCTACGGCGATCGTCGGCCACTCGCTGTCGACTTTCGAAGTCGATCGATTCGCGATCGCGTGTTGTCGTCTCAATCCCCGTCAGAATCCCCTCCGACGCAGCATCGTATCTCTCCCCTCCTCCCTCCCACCCCTATTACATCATAATTTATACAGTTATCCGTGGCCCTGCCGCGCGCGCGCGCCATTTAATCACTTCGCATACGCAATATATTTGGGTTTAACTTTGGCTTTGTTCTCCTCACAGAGTATGTGTGGCCTAACAAATAATAAGCTACTTATAAAAATAGGACATTTTTCGTTGGTACGTTCATGCTTCTCTAATTACGCAATCAAGGGATACGTATTATATAAGTTAAACGCTGTCGCTGGAACGATAAGAGTACGAAGAGGAAGAGGAATCGACGGACTTCAAAAATCCAATTACACGCGCCCCCCGAAGATACTCTGTGTGTATGTATGTGTGTATGTATATCTGTGTGTATATGTGTGAATATTATTTATAATTATTCCACGATATACTAATTCATATTTATAACGTATGCCTAGTCTCGATAGGATACTCCTTGCTCGTACACTGTACAACGCATAGACAACGCTCGCTCACTTACAGCCTACAAGATTTTGGTATTCTGCTGAATAATTGTTATTATCGTCATTGCAATGTAACAATTTTGGTATACAGTTACGCCCGGCGTAAAGTGTCCGGCGTCTACTATACATATATCTACAGAATAGTGAGTACGTGATCCCCGTGGGATCTTGATCAGCCCCTTGCTTTCCGCGCCCCTCCCCTCCCCTTTTCACTCCCTCTCTCCTCCCTCGTCGTTTAACGGAAATTAATCTCCCGATCTTTCTCCTCGTTACGGAAAAGATTCACCAAAGAGAATGCATCGTATACAATCGGCGCATTCGCGTGCGTCGCACGATTCGAAGAAACAACACGCACATATACTTCTTCCTGTATCTCCCGGTTGAAATAATATTACACGTTTATTTGTCGCGAGACGTATATCTATTTACAACATCGTGAGTAACGGATAGAATAACGCCCGCCCGATCGAATGTATCGGAAGAAGAAAGTCGGGGGATTAAGTACTGGTCGTCGCGGCGGAAACTTAACATTTGTACTCCGTCAACTGTTGCTCCTTTCGGATATTTGTGCTCCCGCGCGGAACCCCCGCGTCGAACTCATAGCGACGCGCGCTTCGCCGGACCGTCGTGTCAAACATTCGATATCTGAAGAAACGAAGCGAGATCTCGCTACGCGAGTAGGGCAACCAGGGCGCCCGTAATTCGATAGAATCTCACTGGCCTCAATCGTCGTCTCGCGGCTGCGTCTGCGAGCCCGATGCGATCTGCGGCGTCGTCCAGCAGTCGAACAACGACGGCCAATAGGTAGGAGCGGTAGTCGCGTGCTGCCAATAGCCAGCTAGTCCGGTACCGCTACCGGTACCGCCACCTGATCCGCTCACGATCCCGACTCCCACCGGGATACTACCAGCGGCAGCGGCCACCACCTGCTCGGCGTTCACCATACTGTTGACTCCGAGGACACCTCGCTCATCTTCCATCTTCTGGTCCGCCGCGGCACCATCTTCGTCGTACATGAGATAATGCGGGTGTGAGGTCGTCGACGACGGCGTCGACGACAACGTCGGCGAGGCGGCGGACCTAGGCCTGGGTCACTCTTGCGACCTGAGCTGATTGTCGGCTGATTGACCGGAGATGGCTGCGGCGGACGGCACCACCTGGTTGCCACCACCGAGGGAGTTCCCGGAATTGGATGCTACGCTGTGATGATGGGGGCTAGAGGTAGCCCCCGCGTCACCTCAGACTTGAGCCCTGGCGGTGGCGTTGGCGTGCGCCTCAGGACCACCCGGGGAATGTGGGTTCGCGCCGGCTGCCGTTGTCAGTGCGTACTGACAGGCGCTTAAACCACCACCGCCGCCACCACCGCCGACGGAGGATGCCCTCGAGCTGACGGGACTTATGCTACCCGCTGTGGTACCGGTGGTACCACCTGCGCTGAAGGACCCACCACCGCCGCCGCCGCCGCCGTAACCGCTGCTGTGTTGCTTAGCCTTCAGACGTAACGAAGCGATACTGCTGGAGGTCATCACTGTGCAGGATTCCGGTGGTGCCGCTGTCCGATGGTGCGGCGTGTAGACCGGTGGTCCATAAGGATGATGCGGCGCTGCCGGCGCGGCATAAGGACACGCTGCACCGGACGCCGCGACCGGTGAACTCGCGACACCCAGACCGGAACCCATACCCGGTAACATGGACGTGGCGGCCTGACCGACCGATACCGACATACCACCTACGTGGCTGCCCGCGACCGACGTCGCTGCGGCGTTGAAGCAATTCACCGGGCTAACCTGCGCATGATGATGATGATGTGACGCCGTCGGCACTACCGAGCCTAACGTGTTCATCCAGGGGAAACTCTTGCCGCTCAACGGCGACGGCACCTTGGTCGCCCAGTTGTTGTACGTGCTGTACGAGCCGTAGAGAGTGTCCGGGTCTGGGAACGGTTGAGTGATAAAACCGTTCAGACTGGCCGTGCTGAAGCCCGACTTGAAGTCCGCCGCGGCCTGCGCGGCGGCGTTCATCGCGTTCCGCTCCTTCTTCCGCCATTTCGCCCGTCTGTTCTTGAACCAGACCTGGAAACAGAAGAAGGAAGCGTTGCGGGTATATAATATGTATCTATTAATTAATTGGGGAATCTTTACATATTATTTGAGAAATTTTCTAACTGGTTTATTATAGGAGAGACCAGATACAGTTGGTTCAAGGATCATATTGATTATGTACTTTGTTTATGTATTTATCATGAAAAGAACAGTGGAAATGAAATCGCAGAATGTTCCTTTTAAAAAGAAGAAATAATGTAGAATTTTATATAGTTATGGACTTATGTTATATGAATGTGGAATACCAACAAAGACAGTTTTCTTTCATAAAACAATTGAAATCGAGCATACGGACAGACGAGGTAAAGTTGGACAATATTAAAGGGCTATGGAAATATTTAAGTGTAAAAGACCGTGCAAAAAGATCTCTCACGGAAACTCTCAATTAGATTAGAAGATTAGGAACTATTAATAAAAAAATATATATACACTTTATATGTGGCTCTCTTTCTATGTGTGTGTGTGTGTGCAGAATTCACGCTGCGTTTGACATTACGATCCAATATCCAATAGTGGAATTTCTTTTCTAGAGTTTCTGGAGTTTCTAGATAGCAAAATTTTTATTTTCAGAGAATTAATACTGCTATTGAATATTGGATATTGTATGTCAGATGTCGGCATTATCCTGAATTGCTAAGAAACTTGACTTGGTATTAGGGCAAGGTAGTCACGTTCGGTGTAGCATGTTCGTATTTACAGAACAAAATATTGGTGCTAGAATAGTATTAGAATATTTTCCTTTTAGTTTTGCAGGATCATAGACAGTATAAAACCTAGAGGAAAGTTATCCCTATCATTTATATATAGTTAATCGCAGCAATTAGTTGTCTGAAGACTTTTAACTTCGGAATTCTGAGAAGTGATTCAACTTGATTCGGTCTTTCTAATTCATAAATTCGTCTATAATCTTCAACATTCTCACTTTGATGTTTCATCCTTTATTTCACATCGCATAAACATTTCAGGCAACCCTACGTAGTTCACTTCTTTACAAACACTATTCTCCCTCTCGAGATTTCGTTGTTAAGATATACAACTCGCGCGTCGGGGAAAAACGACAAGACGAGGAAACGAAAGAGGAGGAAAGGTGCAACAACGCGTAGCTTTCTTCGCCAGATTTGCGCCAGAACGCAAGCACTCGCGCGCCCGGGGTTATTAGTCACAAAGACGCAACGAAGAAAGCAACGGCGGTTCCACCGACGGTGCTCCGGTAAACGACGGAGTCCCGAGACAAATAGCAAGAAAACCCCGGCGAGCTTCTCCATCCTGAAATATGATGGCGTTAATTCAAGACGGCCCTCCCCCTCTCTCTTTCTCTTGTGCGCGCGCTCGATACCACGACGAACCCTGTCAGCCGTTTCCACCCTCTCTTCTCATCCCGATTCGCCCTTCAACCTCAAACCCATCCAACGTACTCCGACGTACTAGAACGTCTCTCTTCCTCAACGACGCCCGTTGTCCCTGCTCGCCCCCAACAATTATACGGATGGTTGCGCTCAGATACACGTCGCTCTCGCGTAACTGTAAGGCAAGGAGCGGGAAAATGCGACATACGGATCCTGGAGTAAGTATTCGGCGAAGGAAGGGTCGGATAGTTGGTAAGGAGGAAGATAGGTAGGAAGGAAGAAAGATCGGTATCGAGGGTGAAGCAGCGCTGAAGGAGGTCGGAGAATACTCTGCAAGATGGATGGCCCTACGATCACGCCGTGGAAACGCTAAGAGGCGCGACGGGTCATTGAAAGTGGGGGTGGAAGACTAGCTAATGAAGAATAATGTCCCTTCTCTCTTGACGATTATTCTCGGAACGTCGTGTAACAGCGAATTTTCTGGTAGCCTTGACTGCATAACCAAACGGGAGAATTTTAACGAGATAATACCATAGACAGGAGACATAACTGAACAGAATCGCGAAACGAAATCGAGGTTTTATTACAAAATCTTTTTCGTTCACCACATCGTGTTCTCCTTGCGCGAATTTTTTCTCACTGATTTTCCATTTGCACTTGAGTGCCAGTTAAGATGTATCGTTATGTCGTTATACTATTTTGATACAGCGAAAAATGGTTTGCGATCTGAATTTGCGAGTGGCTTACGTGTTGGCGCACTCCTTTCCTTTTTTTCTCGCATTGGTAAGCCGCTCGTGGAACATCATTGAATTTTACGAAGCGGCCCGGTAGCCGCGACACCAGGGCGACGACGGTAAGCCAGGAGGGAGTAAACTCGATAGGACAGAATGGTACTACGGCGGGCGAAAGATGCCGCGACTCGAGAATCAATAAACTCTCTCGCGCAAAGGCGCACCGTATACACACGAGGTGCCGCGCCCATAAAGTTTAACAGCGCCGCGGAATCTCGACCAGCGGCAGATGGAACGACCGGGCGGATCCTAATGCCCCCGATTCATAAGGTCGTAAATTTGACGAATGTACGCGCAAATCTCGAGCGGAAACTATCGCTTGACCCACTGGATCCCAGCTATTGACCGAATGATCTGTGAATCGTGAGAGGAATTGTGCGCGCGACGTAAATATGCCCAGCTCCGTCCTCATAATAATTTACCAGAAATCAATCCCCGAGTCGAAAATTTAACTCTATTCTCGATCTGAAGTTTTTAACATATGTATGTCCTGAAAAATCAATGTATGTGTTTAATATGAACATGGAAACTGAACTCTTACTTAGCGGTTCTAAATGACAGAAAATGTACAAAATATCACTTGTAGATTCTAAAGAGAGAACCTCTCAACAAAGTTAGTAAGTTAGATAGTATCAAAAAAGATTGATATAAGCTTCAGAGTATCAAAATAAGCGTTTAAATGGAATATTGAGATCGAAAGTAGAATCAAACTTTCAACTTGGACCGAAATTTTGATCCTACTTTACAATGCGAGTTTTTTGACATCTATATATTCTGAAGAATCAGTGTATGTGTTTAATACACATGGAAAATGAAATCTCAGCGGTTTCAAATGATAGAAAATGCACAAAATATTAGTAGGTTCTAAAGAGAGGACTTCTCAGCAAAATTAGTAGGTTAAATATGATCAAAAAAAGTTGATATAGGCTTTAGAGTATAAGCGTCAAGTAGAATATTGAGGTCGAAATTTTAGCCCTATTATCGACATAAACTTTCTAACATCTGTACATTCTGAAGGAGGCAACATTTTGATCCTACTTCTGACCCCAATATTCCATGTACTACTTTGGTATTCTAAAGTCTATATCAAACTCTTTTGATTCTATTTGACCTGCTAACGTTATCAAGAGGTCCTCTTTAGAGTAAGTAGCATTTTGTGCATTTTTTGCCATTAAAGACACTAGATAAAACTTCAGTATCCATATGTATTACAGATGTTAAGAAGTTCAGGTCGAAAGTAAAGTTAAAATTTTGAGTCGGTATCAGTATATTAATATACATGAAAACTGAAGTGTTTAGCGCCTCTAAATGGCAAAAAACTCCATAAAATACTATTTACAGATTCTAAACAGGCTCTCTAAACAAAGTTAATTAAATAGGATAGAAAAAAGTTGATGTATTAGCGTATCAAAGTAGGCATTAAATGGAATATTGAAGTCAAATGTAAGATCAAAATTTCAGATTGTTGCCTTGCACCAATTCTATTAGTATTTTCAGCTCAATCCAACGAACACTTACAGAACAGTAAAATAACGATCTGCGTGAAATCCGTGACAATGTATCTGTGACGATGGTATTATTGAGGGATTTAAAAGGTCCTATAACGCGACAGACACGTGTATGTTCTCATGAAAATGAAGTTTGGAAAAGCGCACTTTCACGGCATAAGTCGGACGATTAATCGCGGCAGCGCGTCGCGGACGATTCCCGACGGCGACGTCGAAAATGTCGAAGGACATCTCAGAGGCGGTCCGGTAGACGCGATAAATCGAATCCACTGTTTTCCGCCTGGCAACCGGCTCGAACAATGGTCCCGTCACGTCATTCGGGCAATAAAACCTCATCAAATCACGACCCTTCGCCACCGTGTAAGCCTCCGCTCGTGTGCGCGCGCGCTCGCACGCTCGGCTCAATCTACGAAAGCTTATATAAATGTAATGAGACCGTGACCGGGGGTGTCTCATCAATCACACCCCTCCGCCCACCCCTGTCCCATTCCGCCGTCGACGTCGCTCTTTCCCCCGGTCGTCTTCCACGCCGCACATACGTCTACGCGTTACATAGACACCCTTGAACACCGCACCGGCCCGTCCGCGGTAATCCCGTGACTTAACATCGGGCTCCGGGCTCTCCGAGTAACCGCGATTTGTTCCATTGCGCTCAGAAGTTGCGCGCCACGCCGCGCCGTTAGTTCCTCGGTCAAGAGAGTCTGACTCTCGCAGGGACGAGACTGGAGTTCAGACTTCTCTCTTAAGTAAGGTCTGCTTAAACGAACTGCTTTCTGAGCGATATCCTACTCTCTAAATTGCTTGGAGTAAAATTTCACGTGAAAAATAGATTGAGCAGCGAGTCACGTGTATTTTAGTATGTGACTTGCCACTCATATGTAGAGTGAATTCCTCATTCTGAATCGTCGGCTGAATATTTTCACTCGAAATTCATGAGTAAATCTGACATATTCCACCGTCACTGGAACATATTCACCCTAAACGATTGAAGCATTCGCTCATATGGAGTTAGACTCCAGTCTAAACTTGAGTAAGACATTCACTCTTGCGATTTCGAGAGAGAGTAGCTGTATTTTCACTACCATTTCGAGTGGTAAATACTGCCACTTTTTCCACATTTTGTGTGAGACTTCCACCAAGAAATTTACAGAGTATTATTTCATAAAACTATAGAGATTCGAAATATTAAAATATTACTAGGAACTTTTACGATATTACAGCGCTGTTAGCGCGACAAATTATAATCAAATACAAAGTCTGGAATTATAAAAGGAGGATGCTTAAAATATATAGAAATACCGTCCTCTGTGAATAGCGGTCAAATT